AGACAACACGAGAGTATCGCATGGAGAGCATCTGAAGTCCTTTCACTTGCTGAGACTCCTCCTCCTCTCCCTCCTCCTCCTCCTCCTTCATGCCGACGCTCCCCTTCCGCTGGCTCCTCCCCCTCCCCCTCCCCCTCCCCTTGATACCTGACATGCATTCTGAATCACCAGCAGTACCAGCACCTGACAAGTTCGACTCAGCCCAATACTTCCTCCTCCCTCCTCCCTCTCCTCCCTCTCCTCCCTCTCCTCCCTCTCCTCCCTCCTCCTCCTTTTTTCGTATTCTTTATCGGCTGCCATCCAACCTGTCCTGGATCGCCTCCATCTTTACCTCTCCCCAGCCTTCCATCAATTCATCTGCACCCTCTCCTCTATACCCCATCTCACCTCCCTGCTGTCTGCTCTCTCTGCTCTCTCTGCTCTCTCTACACTCGATCTTCTCACCAGTCCGCGTACTTGCAACACCCCAAAGATTTTTCGCTCTGCCAGGTTCTCTTTCTTAGCCTGTCACACCATCACAAGCTGCTTCTCTTTGCATGCTCTCATGCCGGTGTTGAGGCGTTCTCTCCTGACGGATTCTGTGCCGAGCTTGCCTTGAGCTGCGCAAACGTCTGTCAGATCATAGCATGACACAAACACCTCAACATCACACATCACATCACATCACATCACATCACATCACATCACATCACATCACATCACATCACATCACATCACATCACATCACATCACATCACATCACATCACATCACATCACATCACATCACATCACATCACATCACATCACATCACATCACATCACATCACATCACATCACATCACATCTCGTCTCTCTCATAATCTCACTGCTCATGTCGCTCGTACCTGAGTCTGCAATCTCACTGCATGCGCGTGGTTCGGGCATGACAGCGAACTCTGCGTTGCCAGCATCTTTTTCGGCGGTTGCACGAAGGCGGCGATGGAGGGATGGCAGCTGGCGTAAGAGGCGCGGGCGCCGTGGAATCGTTCAGTGCGGGAGAGCTGCGGATGCTGGACGAACAGGCTGAGGGAGAGAGAGACATGGGAGAGACTGAGGGAGAGGAGAAGAGAGAGGATCCCGACCGATCCTCGCATAGCTGTCAAGGCTGTTCGAACGATCCTGTGGCAGAATATAATGAGAAAATCAAGAATCGGAGAGAATTGTAATGAAACAAGTGGATTTGTGATAAATTCATGTGTCATTATCATGTTTGCTTTCCTATGATCGGCCATGTCACTTTCCTCTGCGATCTCCGGAAAAGGGGCCCTAAGGCGTCGCATTCCGTATACTATCTGCTCTTGCACTTCTATCAACTGGTTATGCTCAGGTTATGATGTCACTGATCTCTCTTAGAAGTTCTCCTTCACGATCTTCACCTCCTCGGCTCCTGGTCCATACACCTTCTACTACATCTCCTCGTGTCACCTGCCCCTTTTTCGCCCATCTTTCACTGGTTCATCTTCTGCCATTTCCTACTTCTTCTTCTCCTTCTCATATCTTCTAGATCGTCTGCTCCTCGCATCCTGTGCCTCCTTCATCCCTCTCTCTCCCCAGCTTCTCCTTCCCATCTGCCCATCCCTCAATGTGTGCATGGCGGCCGCCACGACGGTTGCCCTCTTCCCCTATCATACCATAGTCTCTCTGACTCCAGAATCTGAGTGCAACATGTCCAGCTCGGATTCGAACCGGGCACCGGGCCCGTGATCAGGCCCATGATCATGAGGGGGATGAATTTGAGCAAGAGGGGGGATGGGGGCATCCGGGAGTTTAGAATGGCCGCGGGACCATGGAATGAGAACCATGCGCTGCTGGCGCTTCGGCTTCGCCTCTCAGCGCTAGGCCTCATCCTTCTCTCCTTTGTAGCCTACTCCTTCCCGCAGCTCATTGGGGGGAAGAAGCGACACTGGCATGCGCTGATCCCGGGCGTTCTCGGCGTCCTGTTCTTGCCCTGCTCATTCGGGGTTCAGAAGGAGAGCACAAGAAAGATAGCGGCTCATGTAGCTGTCCTCGTCGCGGTGAGAAACTTCTCCATCATGATCATCATTGCCCATGCTCTCCTCCCACTTAGCAAGCTTGTGACTTGTTCCTTCTATTCGTCTTCTCATTTTTTTTACGTCTTCTTGCTGCGACAGTTGGTTGGCGTGTTCGGGGGCATCAATGGTCTGTTCAAGCTCATGCGTGTGGCCATGGGGGAGGAGATGGATAAGCTCGATGCGATCTACCTGCAAGCGGGCATGTCGCTCATTTGTACACAGTTCTTGACATTTGCAATTAGATGGTTCATGGAGAACAGAAAGAAGAAAGTTCAGAAATGATCTTGTGCTGCTGTGATGATGGAGAAGAGAAGTGTGTTATTCAGCAGGGCAGGGACAGTCATTAAAATTTACAGTAGATTCAAACCATTCTCTCTCGATGGTCGTTACAGGTTGTCCTTCATTCCTATCGGGATCCTGCGTTCAATTGGCTTCAGTCAACTGATGCGAGCGCGTGGAGCCTCACGCCAATTCTCCCAGGCCGAGCTGAACCAGAAAGTCAGGCAATGAGTCTCGTTGAGCCGCGCGCGGAGCTGCCGGAGCTCATCAGCTCGCGTCTGCCAAAAGCAGCGGGTCAAAACATGACAAGTTTAGCAATACTGCCGAGGCCTCACCAGCCCGTGATGAAACTGAACCTGAAGGTTTCTGATCCTGTCCATCATGTTGAGGTCCAGCAGCCTCGCCAGCAGGTCGAACTCTGGCGGGCAGCTGGGCTCAGAAAGGCAGAGGCTGACGCGACCAACAACCTTCTCCCTCCACGTTGAACTTGAGCAGGTCGACCCGACGGACGTCAAGCTCGTCGAAGAGACTGTCGACGCTCAGGACCTGCCTGAGGGAGTCAAGGACGAAGTTGGAGTGCTGGACGGGACCTCGACTTCTGTCACCCTCATCTCCTCCTCCTCCTCCTCCTCCTCCTCCACTTGCGAGCCCTCCGACAGCAAGTGACTCCCGACCCCTGCGGGGCGACCATGGTGTGTGAAGAGGGCTGCAAGGACAGCAGAGAGGGGAACAACCTTTGTCCAGCATCTTCATCCGCCCGCCCTTGGTCGAAATCGCCTTCCTGTGCAGCTGAACCTGACGGAGGTGTCAGCACCTCCCCATCGGACCATGTCAGCCCTCGGCAGCACCCGGGGCCGCACGTGCTGCGTCCTCTCCTCGAACATCGCCGCATGGCGCGGAAGGGGCTCGAACGCGTGCACCTGGCAGCGGAAGCGACTGCAGAGCGATGACAAGGTGCCTGGGGCCGGCCAACAACTCACGTGAAGATGCTGGAAGACCAGTCGCCGGCATGCGCTCCGACGTCCACGACGATGCTCTACGAGTAGAGAAGGTTCAAAAGGCCGCCTCAGCCCCTCTGAGTTACATGCTCGTCGAGTTGGTCTCGGTACGAGAGGATTCGGAAAGTTTCGTCTCCTGCCAAAGCCCTAAGCAAGTAGGGAGGGGCAGGGAGGAAGCGCGCTGACCTCGCTGCTTGTGCCAGTCATCAAGAGTGTGTCCCACGTTGAACGAGTCCTTCCTGCCTCCCTCATCACGCCACCAGCCCTGCCTCACGGCACTCACCGGGAGCAGAACATGGAGGTGTCAACTTCAGGGACGAGGTGAGTGGTAGTGTCGATAGTTCTCAGACCCTCCGGCCCTGTCTCCGTCCTGTCCTGCTCTTGCCCACCTTGAATATCCTGCTTGGCTACAACCTGCTGCCTCCTTGAGATCTGAGTGCCCATGCTCCCTCCCCCACCTTGACGAAACTCCGAACAACAGCTATGATTCCGTCTTGAAGCGTCTCGACCTCCACACGGAATGGAAGCCTGAGGAGCAACTCGAGTGAGGGCGAGAGCATCTACCGGCTGACAGCCCTCACAGCCCAGCTTTCGGGAGGTACGCCACCGTCACCTGGAGCAGAGCTTTGTCTGGGCTGCCAAGGGCTGAGAACCCTTAGTGAGAAAAAGCTCGTCATGGGCGAGCACTGACATCAGACCTGGAAGTTTCAGCTCTGGTGAAGCCTGAAAGGATCTTTCTAGCCCGACAACAACCTTGACTGCCACTGAGTCATCGCTCTTCTTCGGCCTGACCCTCCTCTCGGCACCCGATAGAGAAGTGGAGGTGAAGGTCTGCCGATTCAGGGCCATCTGGACCTCTACGGGCTCCCCTTCTACGACTCTGCTCGCGCGTCAAGGGGAAGGAGGGAGGAGAAGGTTGACATTGACTTGACGTACCTCTGACCATAACTAGGATAGAGCAAAGTTGCTCCGTCCTCTTGGAGTTGCGCTGCGGGTGAGGTGAGGAATTTCAACTTTTGGTATCAGCTTATACCTGGGAGGAGATGGAAGGGGAGTTCGGCGAGGGAGGAGAAGGACTCTATACTCTGAGACGTTGTCTCCTTCCCTTCTTCCTCTACCCAAATCACCAACGAACCGATATGCTTGTTCCCTATCGAGAGCGTCCGAGATGATAACAGGTATTTCATTTCCCAAGTCCCTTCGTCTACATCCTTCTGACATTGCTCCGATGTAGGTTCTTGTGTATGCACGCTACTCGAGGTCTTCCTCTCTATCACAATGTTTGTTTCGTACCACTGAGTTATCTCAAACGAGATCGTTCGATCCAACCACGGATTCTCCTCGAACGGTCGAGAAAAAGAAAAGTTGGCCATGGGATCGCCGTCGATGAACAAAGTCCCAGACACGCCGAGGAGGTGGTGCGAAGGCTCCACGGGCTGCTGAGAGGAAGGGGGGTCCTTCTTGCTGCCATCCACATCACAGCTCACACGGAAACGGAAGTCGAGATCGTCTCCGAGGAAGAACAGGGTTGGTAGCCAGGGACTGTCATTGGGTTGTATGATCTCCACGAAGCATCGCGACCCGTTGACCATGGCGATCTTCTGCTTCCAGGCATCTACATCGACGTCTCTCCCCTCCTCTTCGATCGTCGTTCCCATCCCCAGCGCCATACTCAGCAGCACCGCACCAGCAACTGCACCATACCGCATCTCCCCGACAGTACTGCCCTCTCCTTGGTGAGGCGGACTCGGATTAGACGATATATCTGGGGTGGTGGGGCTGGGTAAAGTACCCCCTCCGTCAAAGCTGTCTTTGTAGGATATCACAGGGGTGATCCGGGAGGTAAGACGGTGGGTGGGGTAGTCCTCTAAGATAACGGCGAAAGGGAGGGGCTCGATGGCGACGAGCGTGGCGGTGATGAGGAGGAGAGACGAGAAGGAGGAGAGACGAGAAGGTGAGGTGAGGTGAGGTGAGGTGAGTTGAGGTGAGGAGGAGTAAGAAGAGGACGAGAGCTGGTGTGAGCACAGGAGTTAGGAGACGAAGGAGCAAGGCCAGAGCTGATGGCGAGCGCGGGACAGGCGCGTATTTCCCAGTGATCGCTGTGGTTGGAGGAGAAGGAAAGAAACAAGGAAGTCGCAATGAGGGGAAGATCTCCTATGATCGCTCAAGTCGATGATGTGTCGCTCGGAAGACATGAAAATTCGAGGATTCTCAATGATGTGTCTGATAGCAAGGCAATGGACCAAGACGCCTCACAAGGGTCCCCGACCTCCTCGTCTCGCCGGGTTCCCTGGAGACCTCGAACGGCCGGCAGTCCATCGCCCTCCTTGCGAGGAGTCTCTCCTCTCCGGGGGTCTGTGGGAGTGAACGGAAGCAACAGGCGAGAAGTGTACCTAGAGACACAGAACTTGAGCAAGCTAGCAGGGGAGAGAAGGGAGATTTGTACCCTCTCCAAGGTCCATGACTCGCTGACCAAGAAGCTGAGGGCGACAGAGGAACAGTACGAGGCGTGCAAGACGGACCTGCGGCAGACTAGAGCATGCCTGGACAAGATGGAGCGGGAGAACATGGACCTGAGCCGTCGGCTGGAGGAAAGCGCTATGGAGCGACACAGGCTGCAGCAGAAGGCCAAAGAGTCTTCCGAGCTGGCGGAGAAGCTAGAGTGCAAGCTCAAGGTGGTGATCAATCAGCGGGGGCATGCGGTGATAGAGAAGGAGGCGAAGGCGGCAGAGACAATGAGGAGGATGAAGGAGGAGAAGGAGAAGCTGGAGGAGCTGGTGGAGAGGCTGAAGGAGGACAAGGGGAAGCTGCATTCGGAGCTCAAGTGTATGAACGAGCTCATCACGCTCAAGGAGGAAGACTTCGGTCTGACCCTGTCGGGGAGCCCGAAGAGGAACAGAGTCTCTGTGCTGCTGCTGGTGTCGACGCTGAGGGACGACCGAGATCGGCTGATGCAGGAGAGGAAGAAGCTGGAGGAGGAGGGGAGGGAGATGAGGGAGCGGCTGGAGGAGGCTGAGATGGAGGGGAGGAGACTGAGGGAGGTGGTGTCGGACCTGAAGGTGAACAACAACATCCTGAGGGAGGAGATCGGGAGGGAGAGGGAGGCGAAGGAGACGCTGGTGAGCGAGAAGCGGCTGATGCTGCAGTACATCGAGGAGGAGATGCAGAACGTGGAGGAGATGAAGAGAAAGGTACAGGCGTACGAGGCAGAGAACGAGAAGCTGGTGGAGGAGCTCAAGGCCAGCAAGCAGGAGAGGAGCTCCACCGACCACAAGGTGCGGAGCATGGGCGAGAAGCTGAGGAGCGAGAGCAGGGAGAACTCCGACAGGATCCAGCAGCTCCTGACGCAGAAGGAGGAGCTGGAGGAGACGCTGGCAGAGCAGTACCAGCGTGCTGAGCATGCGGAGCGGCAGGTGCGGTGGAGTGAGGAGAAGGTGGAGGAGCTCAGGAAGGAAGTCGATCACCTCCACGGCGACCTCGACCAGTTGACGGAGAGGAACAGCAACTTGTCCAACGAGCTAGTGGACCTCCAGGTCTCTCGTTGACTCTGCCTGCTCTTGTCTCTTCAGCATCATCATCATCCGCATCATCTTCTTTGCTTCTTCTCCTCCCGTCCCCCCCTCCCCCCCCCGGCCTCCTCCTCCTCCTTCCCCTCCCCCTCGTCCTCCTTCCCCTCCTCGTCCTCCACCACGGCCTCCTCCTCCTCCTCCCCTTGACGTTTCCTCCTCTGCTGCTTCACTCTTCACTGCTCCGACCCCTCCTCCTCTTCCTCTGTTGTAACCCTCCTCTCGACGACTGCTCCTGTCACTCTCCACCCTACCTCCTCCCTCTTTCCCTTTGGCTGCCCCATCACGGGCTCCTCCTGCTCTTGTCCTGTTAGGTCTAGCAGAAAGTCTGACAAGGTGAGCAGGAAGCGCATGAGCGGCTCCTCCTGGCCCAACGCAAAATGGAGAGGGAAAGAGAGGAGAAGGAGGAGGAGGACGCAGAGAACAGGAGGACGCAGCGTGGTCATGCAGCGAGCAAGGGTGACACCGATGTGTCTCAAATAGCAGGAGAAGGAGAGGTGAGAAAGTGAGAGCATGTCAAGGGCGGGCGGAAGGAGGGAGGCTAGGGAGGAGGGAGGAGGGAGAAAGGTGGAGTATCTCCGCTGCAGACCTGACTGGACCTGGTCAAAGGAGATGTTGCAGCTCAGGAGGGAGTGCGAGCAGCTGAAAGAGAAGTCGGAGATCCTTGCGCGATCCAAGGCACTGCTGCAGAAGTCCATGCTCGAGCAAGTGACTTCCCTGAGAGATGAGGTAAGGAGGAGCAGGAGCGGGAGCATGTGTTTGATGTGCGTGTTCTGATTTCATTTTTAGCTTGATGTGGTGAAGCAAGAGAGGACGAAGCTCGAGCAGATGCTGTACCAGGTGAAGCCGCCATCCTCCTCCTCCCCTCCCTTTTGCTCCCCTCCTCTTTCTGCTCCTTGCTTCCCTCCCCTCCCCTTCCCTCCCCTCCCCTCCCCTCCCCTCCCTCGTCTTCCTGCCCCTTCCTCCTCTAGTGCAATCTCACCGGTGTCCTCCCCTCCCGCTGTCTTCATCCTCTCGCTCCTCTTCTGACTGCCCACAGCGAATTCACGAGGACACGAG